TTCACTGCCGGTTACCCCGGCGCCCGGTAGTCCAAGCCAACGCCAAGCTTGGTAGATGAAACCCACTAAGAGTTAACTAGGTTATAATTTCATGGTAAATTAAATATCTTAATACAAAGGTTCCTGGCATAATAAAGACACAATTTAAAAACTAAAACTAGTTACAAGTTTATTAATAGTTGGTCAACGAGTAAACAATTACATTTATTCCCTTTAATATATACATTAAGCAACGCCACTACTCACACGGTAAACAGCAGAACAAAACAATAACCTCACTGCATAATCAAAACAAGGAACTGACACTAAACCAGTGTTTCCACTTCACTTCAACAGTTTCTCCCTTGCCAAAGCCCGAATCTTTATCAATAAATCAATTTATTATCATCAATAAATCTTAAGCAGACGTAAAAAATATTTTATTTAAAATACAACATGGATTGTGAAATTATTGAAAAAGTACGTTCAGAAATATTCTCTATTATATTATAAGGTTATAACTACATACTACATTTTAGACCAGGCCCAGCCTGGGCCCCTGGACAACGCCCTCGCTGGCCTCCCCCCACCCTCTCAGGGGCCTGACGATAACAATGACTACCACTGACTGAACTCTACATTACTCCCCTCCCTCCGCCGGTAGATATTCTGGTCTCTAGCGGTCACTGCTACAAGCGAAGATAGCCAGGCGGCGGGCAGGAGCTTGAGTCTGTTGAATCAACCCTGAACTCGCACAAACTATCACTGTCTGCCACGGCGATGACTTCGCGCATGATTCTTGATAAATATTTCATATTACGGTACCTATTTTTTCTTCATATCCATTATTTCAGGGGGGGCGTATACGCTCCGCTGGCATGTTGATAACTTAACCATTTTACCACTATCTCAACTCTCAAGTCAAATTTTTCAGAAGCGATTTTTTCAACAGCCACAGTTGGGCCCTATTCCCTTCCCTACCGTAAAATTAACTAGATGTAGAAAAACTGTTAAAATAGTACCTAAGTAATCTTTAAATTGCTTATCACACTAATTAAGCATTTAACAGGTTTCAAAGATTATCTTGATCGCCAGGGTATCCCACTGGCTACATGTATGGCCAAGGGATGGGTTTGTGTTCAACATTGTATTCCTGTTCCAACTCAAACTATAGTTTTTTCGGCAGCTGCTTTCTTCAATTTTTCAAAACATCTTCCGGGACTCATCGAAATCAGCATTTTGTTAGAGTTGTAAGCTGCACACATGACAACACTGTTTATACTCTTAAAATCCCCTAAACCTATCCCCTTGGGCTCTTACTATCGTTAAAATGTAGAGGTTAGGTTTGCAGGAATTTTGTTAAGTCGAGGTTCAGAACCAGCATTGGTCAATTAATATAGGTCAGGATTTGATCTCATTAAAACATAATTAAAAGAAAAATGGTCTGAAGAAGTTAAACTAAAAAATGGAGTATGCATTCAAGCTAATAGACACTGGAGCTGACGTTTGTGTCTTGCCCTAATCAGTTTAGGCCGGTTTCATACGAGCCACTAAACGCCCCACAATCGCGGAACGCCGCTTCTGACTGTTGTTGCGCGCTTGTGGCTCGAGAATCGCAGCCTGACGCAGAAAAGAAGAACCCCATTCACTTAACATTGGCGTGCCTTTCTCACGAAGTGGCGTCTTTTTGCGTTTGACGCTAGAACGCCCTGCAATCGCCTGCAGTGGCTCTGTCCTCGACAATTTTGGCGTTTGTAGCTGGTTATTGCCGAACTCCTACGAGCTGTAGGAGTTCGTTAAACGATCTCTCTGACATTCTGTAGTTGGTGAAACACTTTTCAGGATATTCACGAAGCTCAGAGTGTAGAGTGTAAGATTGGCTTGACATCAGCCTTGAACTTAAAATCGGAAGAACCCAATATCTGCGGAACACCTTCCTACGACGTCGTATCGCACGAAAAAGCATTATAAAAAATGAGCCTTCTTCATCGTCCATTGTAGCACTGAACTGTACTCGTAGTCTTTCCAAGCGGACTGGTGTTCTGGTGTAGTTCAGGAAGGTGCGGTATGAAATGGCGATAAACTGATGGAAATCGCACGTTTGTGACTCTTGTGAAACCGGCCTTATAAGTTAAAATTGTTTATGCACCCACCAAACTCAAGTAAGTTCTCATTTATTTCCAGACCCATACGACTAGCCTCTTCTTCAATAGTCTGAAACATTTCTTTTAGGTCTTCAGGGTGTCTAGCAACAAGCGCTATGTCATCAGCATAGGCATGCGCTTGTATTTTCCTACGAGTAATGTTCCCCCTCAGGTCTAATCTACACATGCAAGGTCAAATTAAAAAGCATATGATAGCGCATCACCCTGCCTGACACCTCTTGAAATCCTGAACATTTTACTTTGTTTACCACCCACAGCTACTAAACTATAAGTGTGTTCTAGTGTAACGTTTGTGAGCCGCACCAGCTTCCCTGGAAAACCATAACACTCAAGGGCATCAAGTGGTTTTCTCCTGTCTATACTGTCAAACGCCTGTTTAAAGTCAATTAACATGTGCAAATCAACTGCGTATTCATAAGTCTTTTCCATAGTCTGGCGCATGTTACATATTTGATCAATAGTTCCTCTTCCTGGATACTATATACAATAGTTTTATTTTTAATTTAAACTAGCTGTACCCGCGGGCTTTGCCCCGTTTAACTTAATTTGTGAGCTCGTTCGCATGGCTCAATCACGTCCTGGTTGAAGTTCGTTCGCTACGCTCACTCACCTTTAGGTTGGAGCTCGTTCGCTGCGCTCACACGTCCTGGTTGAAGTTTGTTCGCTACGCCACAGAAAACGTACTACTATAACCCAGAATGCCAACCGCATGGTAAAAAGCATTAAGCGGTTTGAGAGAGCTTTGCCTGTCAATCCGTAGGCAGCGCCACCAGCGTTGCCATGCAATAGCATAGCAACGCTGGTGGCGCTGCCTACGGATTGACAGGCAAAGCTCTCTCAAACCGCTTAATGCTTTTTACCATGCGGTTGGCATTCTGGGTCATAGTAGTACGTTTTCTGTGGCTACGCTCACTCACCTTTACGGTTGGAGCTCGTTTGCTGCGCTCACTTGCCTTCAGGTTAGCTCGTTCGCTACGCTAACTCGCCTCCGAGTTGAAGTTCGTTCGCTACGCTCACTCACCTTTTGGTTGCAAATTAGCTGTTGTCATAAATTTAAAAAAATAATAGTGCTGCACTCTGTTGGTAATCCTTGTAACTTAAATGCTATTGAACATCACAGAACAGAACCAACTTGTTTAATTGAAACAGCTGTTATGATTCATTAACTCCATTTAAATATGAGTACTGTACTCATTAGGTTAACATGGGAAATTCCAGAGCCACTGGGGCAGAGCCCGAGAGTCCGATCAGAATAAAAACCACTTAGTTTTCCTATTTAATGCCTAAAGAATCAGTGTACCAAATTTCAGCCTCCTAGGTAAGTGGGAAGTGGGAGAATTAGTGATGAGTGAGTCAGTCAGTCAGTCAGTGAGGGCTTTGCCTTTTATATATATAGATGCTGGATTTTTCAAATATTGGGTTGGATGTGTTAGCCTAATGTTAATTGTGTGTTGTATTGGGGAGTTTTTAATTATAAATTTAAGATTGGCAATCTATTAATTATATAAATTGATTGGTGTTCCAAAAGGTTATTCCATTGTAAAACGTTTACATATTATTAATTCAAAGGACCACGTACCAAATGTACCAACATTAATTAAAAAAAAGACTGGTTAATGTTTAACTATAGTAGAACATTGTTTACACACTAACCAATAGTTTGAAGTTGTATCACAAACTGTCCGCCATTGGGCGCCAGGGGCTGGAGAGGCCATGGCCAGAGGACGCTGTCAACGCAGCTTGTGAAGAAAGAAATTGGGGAAATTTAATCACTGAGGGATCTTGATGTCGGTTCGATACCACACAAAAGTTTAATGTTAACCAGCGGTCTAAAAATAGTCTTTCAATTTAACGCGGTTGCCTAGCCAAGTCAATGCACACACACTGAGGACACTGAGAGAGTTGGATTAATACACAATGTTACGATTAAATGGGTTAATTTACACTTTAAAGGAGGTTCACAAAGGACAATAAGGTGGCATCAATTAAAGTAATTAAAAGCGTTACATGGGAGCCACAAAACTACACGAGAAATAACTCACGATGGAATGCGATGAGTGTAACAAGAGTTTTTCTTCACTGAGGCAAAAAACCGGTAGAGTCCCTATTGTAACCGCGAGGGAACACCACACAAACCGAAAATTTCTGTTTCGACCAATAGGTGAGCGGGAAACGATGTGGTTCCGTTTTTGACGGTGTTGGAACATCATGGGTTGAATCTCCACCTCTCTCTCTCTCGCGCTTAGCGGTAAATTTGAATTTACGAATCATAAACTTAAAACTAAATACTTAAAATTGTGTTTTTAGTAAATTTTCTGGACGTTGTTTGTAGTTGTTGTATGCTTTTTTTTATTAACATTAGTATGTTATGGTGCATAATTCCAAACAAAATAGAGCAACCTCCCATTGCTGTAAAAATTATGGTTCAAAGGTTAAATTGCAACTTGTGATTTCCCTTATAAAATATCATAGTTACTACCACCGCTTGTCCATGATAAAGGTTGTTGACAAGCTAATGGGAGAAATTATGTGTCAGATTGCTGATACTGTTTATTTATTCATGTTGTGTTTGTAACGAATGTTCTGTGATGTTGGCATACGAATATAAAAAAAATGTAGCTTGTCTTTTACATTTTGTCTAATAAAACTATTACCAACCACAACTATCAACATGGAAGTTATATTTGCCAAAACAGTTTTTTATGGTATTATAGTGCATAAACATAACAAAAACACCCAAACATTTAAAAAGCATTTAAAAAAACCCAACATGATACTGTCAAAATCACTTTTGGCTTCTTTCTAATAATGGGTTTCCTACTATTGTATTTTACTCATATTACTTTGTCGTTTCAGGTAACATGGAGTGACATCTATAAATGTTTTTCCTCTAAAACTATAAAAGGAAAATCCAAACTTTACAGGATGAAATATAAATGCCCAATGTGTTTCGAAGAATTTTGTGAGGAATACCTCTTAAACAAACATATTCAAATCCGACATGAAGTAGAAATGGTTTTAAAAGAAGAGAATGTGACTATAAAACAGGAAAATAATTTTCTTGAAGAGGTTCCACTTGTTCAGACAAAAGAAATAGGAAGGAAACATTCATTAGACCATATTAATGACTTGGTGAAAAATGAACCATCCATTCCTGTTGAAGAAAACATGTTGTTAGAGTGTTCACAAAACCATTCTGGGGAAAACTCAAGAGAAAAATGTCTGTCAACACTTAATGAAGAAAACACTTTACGAGACCAAGATTCTGTAATATACCCTTTGGTTCAGATTGAATACAAGCACCACCAATGTCATCTTTGCAAAAAGACTTTTACAAAAAATGGACACTTAAAAGTACATTTGCTCTCTCATTCTTCAAAACGACCATTTGAGTGTGTGGTATGCAATAAAACTTTTACTCAAAGTGGTAATTTGAGAAGACATCTTACCACACATGTTAATGAGCGTCCACGCCAATGTACATTTTGTGACCAAACATTTGCACAAGTTGGTCAGTTAAAGTTACATCTGCTTATTCACACTGATGGTAAACCTTACCAATGTACAGTATGTGAAAAATCTTTCACACAAAAAGGAGATCTAAACAGACATATGCTGATCCATTCTCAGGAACGACCCCACGAGTGTCATCTCTGTGATCAAAAGTTTAAACAGAGTTCTCATTTAAAGAGTCACCTGTTGACTCATACAGGGCAACGACCCCATCAGTGCACAATGTGTGATAAAGCTTACAAAGAAAGTGGACATTTGAGAAGACATATGCAAACCCATGCAGATGGGCGCCCTTACCAATGTACAATATGTGACAAGGCATATATCCGCAGAGAACACTTGAAAAGGCATCTTATAACTCATTCCAAGTAATTGCCATAATTCTTCCTAGTTGTAAATAATTGAAACGTATAAGTTAATGTTGAAATGGGTTGTGAGTACCACAACGTCCATAATTCACTATTTTTAGGAATACATGCATAAATAATTCTTCACGGAGAGAATAAAGTGTAACACAAGATACCAAACACTTAAAATAGCTTTAGACCTCATTGATGTTTACACATATCTAAATAAAACATTTTCAGGTTCATTTTAAAAGTATTAATATTGTTAAAACTGTTCTATTAAAATAACTTTAGGAGACAAACAATGTGTATATGGAAGTAAAAACGTAGTAGCCTATCATTTTTCTGCAAAGTATGCCACATAACATATTGCTGTTAGAATTGTACAGTTATGGTTGTTTAAATTGAATGTTGTTTTAAAATAGTTTGATTAAAAAATCTTCCATTACACTGCATGTTTACATCAATAAGCTTTAATTGCATAAATATAAATTAAAAAATCGCTTAACCTCTTTCATTTCCCCCCCTATCTATTTTTAAGGGGAAAAAGATAGTTTTTTCTCTTAGCTTTTATCTTCTCTTAATAATTGTACAGTTATGCATAAAGGTAATGTTAACTATACCTATCTATATTGTTTGGTTTGTGAACTAAAGTCACTGTCGTGAAAACTGTGATGTCATGGATTAGTTTAAGTTTAACACATTCATTGCTAATGATATGTAATACTTTTATAAATGGCAAAAAAACATAAACATTAACATGATCATTAGTCCAGGCGCTAAACGGGTTGAGTATGCACTGAAAGTCTGACAAAATTTGACTTTTGATTATTGTTGGGGACATCTAGTAGATGAAAAAAATCGACGATGTCTCATTTCTAGGCTGGTCACAACTCGGGGGGGAGGGGGGGAAGTTGCGCGGGTCATCGGTTTACGTTTCCGCGTCTAACTCACAAACGGTTAATGATAGAAAGGTGAATTAAGCGTCTATCTACGCCTAAATATATTGTCCTTCAAAAAGGTTATTACAACCTTTCTTCTATCTCTTATACTTTAGGCGCTAATCAACATTTATTGCAAATAATAAAATATAAAAATACTTTAAAATGAAATATCGGAAATATTGCGCTTGTTTAGGGCATGTTACAAACTATTTATGGTTAGAAAAACTAACAAGTAGTACAACAGCACCAAGTTTAAACAAATCTGTGCAAAAACAACAGAGCTACGTTGATTTCAGTAAGAGTAAACGTGGAAAATTCGTAGTAGTATCGAGGCGCGCATGGATGGTACGTAGCCCACAGTCAATATAGGTTTGATGTTGTAAGTAACTATGGGAAAGCTGAATTTTTCTATGCTGTTAGACCATGTTGAGATGATCATTTTCCCAAAAGTCCCCACTCCTACCCCTTTGTGCTTTCCTCTACCCCCCCCCCCTTTTAGATAAATTTACAGTCTCTTAGAAATTAAGCTATAACTTTAAAACGGATAAGGATAGTAACGCAATCTTTAATTAATCATTTTGCGTTACGATACTCTACAAAAAGTGTATTTACCATGGTATCCTAAATATTCATAGTTAAAAAATATCATAAACATAAAAAAGTAATTTTTATGGATTAATTTATGAAACTTTTCTTTGTAGATTTTTTATACGAGGTCGCACAACAAAATGTTTGATACAAAATTTGGGGTGCATAGTTTACATTTTAAAATAATACATAGTTATTAACAGTTTGTTTGCATATAGTGGTTATAGATAGTACAGTATATTGATTTTACAGGACTCTGGCTTTTTTGTGCACCGCAACAATGAAACAATTACGTATATTATGGTTTTTGTATTTGAATTTGCCGCTTTATATAGATTATATTAACGTTATGTAGCTCATTCAGTACATATACAGACTATTAAATACAATTATTAACAAGAACTGTATAAAACTCAATTTAATCATTTCATAATGTTAGCTTGAACTAAACAACAACATTGCATTAAACAAACATAATAATAAATAAATCTGAACATCTGTGAATCTTAATAACATATGTAACAGTGGTCCCCCCCTTAAAGTTTTGTGCGTAGCATCTGGTCGACGTGTCGCCTCCAAGTTTGACCATCATCCATTCTAACGTAATAATGAAGATTACCATCTTTAATTTCAACTGTTCCCAAGGCCCACTTGTCTCTTCCTGAATAATTTCTGACTTGTACGCGGTCCCCAGGATTGAATCTTCGCATTATACCTTTTGGACAGGTAGGTTCGTGTTTTCCCCGAGGCTTTAGTAGACTTAGATAAGTGCGAATCTTTCTATTAAACATGAGGAAATATGAAGAGGTTCCCGTTGAATTAGGAGCTTGGCGGATCTGCATTAGAAATCTATGTAATTTTTCATCGATGGTCCCATGTTCATTTTCCATACATTTAAGTGATTTCTTTACAGTTTGAACAAAACGTTCAGCCTGCCCATTAGATGAAGGGTGATATGGTGCAGTTGTTTTATGTGTAATTCCACACTGTTCAAGGAAGCTAGTAAACTCTAAGGAAGTAAACTGTCGTCCATTGTCTGACACAAGAAGATCTGGTAATCCAAAAGTAGAAAACATTTTTCGCAACTCCTTTACTGTCCAAGTAGCTGTAGTACATTTCGTAGGCAATACTTCTACCCATTTGGTAAATGCGTCAATGACTAACAGGAAGTAAAGTCCATTTGTAGGGCCAGCAAAATCAATGTGAATCCTTTCCCAAGGTCTAGTAGCTGGTATCCAAGGATGGTTCACTTCTTTTTGTGGTGCATTTTGTTTTTCTCTACACGCTCTGCATGATGCAATCATCTCCTCGATATCTTTGTCTTGTCCTTTCCAATAACAAAAACTTCTGGCTAATGCTTTCGTTTTCAATACACCCATGTGTCCAAAGTGTAATTCATTCAAAACAGTTTTAGTAAGAGACTCCGGAATCATAACCCTCCATCCCTTGAGGATACAACCTTCATGAAGACTCAGTTCACCATCGTGAAATCCAAGTTTTTCAACAGACTGGCCATTTTGTTAAGCGTGTACTATCTTATTCATTTCCGTGTCATGGGAAGTTTCTTTTGCTACCAACTTATGATCCAAACTCATTTGATTGATCTGACTTGTTAGGAAAACATCAATTTGGTCAATGCAGGTACTATTTTGTGTCTCAGTAGGAAATCTAGAGAGAAAATCAGCGTTTCCATGTTCATTTGATCTTCTGAACTCAATGCTGTAATCAAAGCCTGATAAATAATGAGAATAATTGAACAAACGAGTTGCAGACATGGATGGAAGATTTTTTTCTGGGTTGAAGATTGTGACTAGTGGTTTGTGGTCGGTTACGAGGGTGAATTTGCGACCGTAACAATAAGTAAAGAACTTTTTTAGGCCCCAAATAATGCCAGTTGCTTCCTTGTCTATCTGACTATATTTTTCTTCAGGCTTCGTCAACGTTCGAGAGGCAAAAGCAATTGGTTTCTCGGTCCCATCAGGAAAACGGTGTGATATAACAGCGCCTAACCCAACAGGAGATGCGTCTGTAGCTAATACTAGTGGTAGTTCTGGACTGTAGTGGCAAAGAACAGTATCACTGGAGATAACTTTCTTGATTTGTTCAAAACTCTGTTCACATTGTTCATTCCAAACGTATTTGTTCCCTTTCTGTAAAAGTTTATGTAATGGTTTCAGTAGAGTAGCTAGGTCTTTTATGAATCGGTTGTAATAGTTTACCAAACCTAAAAATGTCCGGAGTTCGCTTACATTCTCAGGTTTTCTTGCCTTAGTTAGGGCAGCTACTTTGTCCATACATTTATGTATACCTTTTTCATCAATGACGTGGCCCAAATAATATATTCTTTTCTGGAGAAACTTGCATTTGTCACGATTGAGTCTTAAACCTTTTTCTCTTAGTTTTCCTAAGACACTTTCCAAACGCAGAAGTAGTTCCTCTTCTGAATTTCCCTGAATGACTATATCGTCAAAGAAGCACTGTATCCCCTCTAGGCCTGCCAACGTCTTGTCCATTGTTTTCTGCCAAATTCCAGGAGCAACTTTAATACCAAACATTAATCTATGTACCCTGTACTGTCCCTTATGCGTGCTTAAGGTTTGAATATTTGCACTATCACTGTCCATTTCCAAATGAAGGTAAGCATTTCTTAAATCTAGTGTACAAAATAATTTTCCACCATTCATGTTGACAAATATGTCTTCAATTTTGGGAATAGGGTGATGTTCATCTTGGATCTGCTTGTTTACTGTCACTTTGTAATCCGCGCATATTCTCACATCTCCGTTAGGCTTGACTACAGGAACGATTGGTGTTCCCCACTCAGATTCTTGAGTTTTAGAAATTATTCCTGCTTCTTCTAAGCGGTCAAGTTCTTGTTCCACTTTCAGTTTTAATGCGTACGGTACAGGCCTAGCCTTCATAAATACCGGACGAGCCCCATCGACAAGTTGTAAGTGTCCAAGTTGATCTGGAATCTTACCGATACCTGGCTCAAACACATCCTTGAACTTCTCTAAAAGATTGTCAAGACCACCTACTTTTGGGTATTGTTGTACTGCCTTTAGTTCAGCCCAGTCTAACTGTACTTCTCGCAACCAATCGCGACCAAATATTGCGTCAAGGTTGTCATCCACGATGTAAAGTTTGCCTGTAAATTTCTGATCCTTGTATGTACAACGCACAAAAACAACTCCTTTTGGTTTGAAGACTTCTCGAGTGTATGTTCGTAGCTGCACTTGTGTATGAAAAATTTTCCTATTAATCTCAAGTTTCTTGAATGTAGAGTAAGGCAGAGTACTTATAGCAGAACCGGTATCAAGTTCCATTTGAACTGGTTTACCTTCAACTGATAAGTCAAGCATAATTTTATCTCCATTTCTTCTATCTATTTTGAAAATCTCGTGTTGTTCATCTTGACAGTCTTCTTCTTCGGCTTGGTGAATTTTTGTTCTTGTAGATCCTAAACATACTCTGGCTAAGTGTCCCTGTTTCTTGCATTTATTACATATCTTTGAAGCAAACTCACAGTTATTGGCCCTATGGTTTTGAGAACCACATCTGTAACATTTTCCTTTAAGACTCTCAAAAAGAGGTGAAGGCTTTTTCTGGTTTGACGTCATGTGCGATTTAGTTGATACATTTTTGTATTTATCCTCAATCTGATGTACTGTACTAGGCCTATTAGTTTTAGTTGCATAGTATTCAGATAGATCACTCTCGTGGTTTGCAATTTCCATCGCTGTCGCTGCTTTGACAACATCTTGAAACGATACTAATGAATTATCCTGAAGCAATTTGGCTCTAATATCTTTATTAACTAACCCCCTTATGAACTGCATTCGCAAAAGTGTATTAGCGATTGATTTCTGGCAAGACTCACAGTTAAACTCACAATTAGATGTAAGTTTTTGCAATTCAACTGAATAAATCTTAACTGTTTCATTGGGCTCCTGTACTCTAGACATGAATTTGTGCTGTAAAGCCCAAGTACTTGGCTGTGGATCAACATAATCTGTCAACATTCTCACCAATTCTGTATATGACTTATCCAGAGGTACTTCTGGAGCACATAAATCATAAACCTTCTGATGTAGGCTAGGGGTTAAAGAATGAAGTAATGTGTATACCTTATCTGTAGGATGCATTCCTTGTCCATGTAAGTGAATGAAGACTTCTAGACGTCTTATGAAATTCTTGAATGTCTCGTCATCTTGAAAGGGTGTGAACGAAATTGTTGATGTAAGCGGTCGCAATTTCTGAGTATCAACACTGTATGGTCTGATCTGCTGTAGTTCTTCTGTTTCGTTGACTCTTTCCAATTCACTTAATCGGAGTTGTAATACATCAACTATTTTGAAATACATATCCTCCATGTCGGTCCTGTATGTGATTTCAGTGTCAAGTTCTTCTTCATCTGTTTTTACTTCAATGTTGTGCTGGATTTGCTCGAATCGTTCCCAATAAGCATGTATCACTGAGAGTCTTGTTCTGATACTATCAATTTTAATACTAGACAATTCTTCCAGCATTCTCCCAGCTCTAGTCAACTGACCTTTAACAACAGCCCTTGCTTTCTTCAGTTCACTCAATGTTTCATTTCCTTGTAAGGAGGCCATAATCAATTATTTGTACTAGTAAATGTAATAAGTGTAAAATAGAAACGTAGAAATAATTAATTGTCCTCGTCGCCAATTATTAAATACAATTATTAACAAGAACTGTATAAAACTCAATTTAATCATTTCATAATGTTAGCTTGAACTAAACAACAACATTGCATTAAACAAACATAATAATAAATAAATCTGAACATCTGTGAATCTTAATAACATATGTAACAGTGGTCCCCCCCTTAAAGTTTTGTGCGTAGCATCTGGTCGACGTGTCGCCTCCAAGTTTGACCATCATCCATTCTAACGTAATAATGAAGATTACCATCTTTAATTTCAACTGTTCCCAAGGCCCACTTGTCTCTTCCTGAATAATTTCTGACTTGTACGCGGTCCCCAGGATTGAATCTTCGCATTATACCTTTTGGACAGGTAGGTTCGTGTTTTCCCCGAGGCTTTAGTAGACTTAGATAAGTGCGAATCTTTCTATTAAACATGAGGAAATATGAAGAGGTTCCCGTTGAATTAGGAGCTTGGCGGATCTGCATTAGAAATCTATGTAATTTTTCATCGATGGTCCCATGTTCATTTTCCATACATTTAAGTGATTTCTTTACAGTTTGAACAAAACGTTCAGCCTGCCCATTAGATGAAGGGTGATATGGTGCAGTTGTTTTATGTGTAATTCCACACTGTTCAAGGAAGCTAGTAAACTCTAAGGAAGTAAACTGTCGTCCATTGTCTGACACAAGAAGATCTGGTAATCCAAAAGTAGAAAACATTTTTCGCAACTCCTTTACTGTCCAAGTAGCTGTAGTACATTTCGTAGGCAATACTTCTACCCATTTGGTAAATGCGTCAATGACTAACAGGAAGTAAAGTCCATTTGTAGGGCCAGCAAAATCAATGTGAATCCTTTCCCAAGGTCTAGTAGCTGGTATCCAAGGATGGTTCACTTCTTTTTGTGGTGCATTTTGTTTTTCTCTACACGCTCTGCATGATGCAATCATCTCCTCGATATCTTTGTCTTGTCCTTTCCAATAACAAAAACTTCTGGCTAATGCTTTCGTTTTCAATACACCCATGTGTCCAAAGTGTAATTCATTCAAAACAGTTTTAGTAAGAGACTCCGGAATCATAACCCTCCATCCCTTGAGGATACAACCTTCATGAAGACTCAGTTCACCATCGTGAAATCCAAGTTTTTCAACAGACTGGCCATTTTGTTAAGCGTGTACTATCTTATTCATTTCCGTGTCATGGGAAGTTTCTTTTGCTACCAACTTATGATCCAAACTCATTTGATTGATCTGACTTGTTAGGAAAACATCAATTTGGTCAATGCAGGTACTATTTTGTGTCTCAGTAGGAAATCTAGAGAGAAAATCAGCGTTTCCATGTTCATTTGATCTTCTGAACTCAATGCTGTAATCAAAGCCTGATAAATAATGAGAATAATTGAACAAACGAGTTGCAGACATGGATGGAAGATTTTTTTCTGGGTTGAAGATTGTGACTAGTGGTTTGTGGTCGGTTACGAGGGTGAATTTGCGACCGTAACAATAAGTAAAGAACTTTTTTAGGCCCCAAATAATGCCAGTTGCTTCCTTGTCTATCTGACTATATTTTTCTTCAGGCTTCGTCAACGTTCGAGAGGCAAAAGCAATTGGTTTCTCGGTCCCATCAGGAAAACGGTGTGATATAACAGCGCCTAACCCAACAGGAGATGCGTCTGTAGCTAATACTAGTGGTAGTTCTGGACTGTAGTGGCAAAGAACAGTATCACTGGAGATAACTTTCTTGATTTGTTCAAAACTCTGTTCACATTGTTCATTCCAAACGTATTTGTTCCCTTTCTGTAAAAGTTTATGTAATGGTTTCAGTAGAGTAGCTAGGTCTTTTATGAATCGGTTGTAATAGTTTACCAAACCTAAAAATGTCCGGAGTTCGCTTACATTCTCAGGTTTTCTTGCCTTAGTTAGGGCAGCTACTTTGTCCATACATTTATGTATACCTTTTTCATCAATGACGTGGCCCAAATAATATATTCTTTTCTGGAGAAACTTGCATTTGTCACGATTGAGTCTTAAACCTTTTTCTCTTAGTTTTCCTAAGACACTTTCCAAACGCAGAAGTAGTTCCTCTTCTGAATTTCCCTGAATGACTATATCGTCAAAGAAGCACTGTATCCCCTCTAGGCCTGCCAACGTCTTGTCCATTGTTTTCTGCCAAATTCCAGGAGCAACTTTAATACCAAACATTAATCTATGTACCCTGTACTGTCCCTTATGCGTGCTTAAGGTTTGAATATTTGCACTATCACTGTCCATTTCCAAATGAAGGTAAGCATTTCTTAAATCTAGTGTACAAAATAATTTTCCACCATTCATGTTGACAAATATGTCTTCAATTTTGGGAATAGGGTGATGTTCATCTTGGATCTGCTTGTTTACTGTCACTTTGTAATCCGCGCATATTCTCACATCTCCGTTAGGCTTGACTACAGGAACGATTGGTGTTCCCCACTCAGATTCTTGAGTTTTAGAAATTATTCCTGCTTCTTCTAAGCGGTCAAGTTCTTGTTCCACTTTCAGTTTTAATGCGTACGGTACAGGCCTAGCCTTCATAAATACCGGACGAGCCCCATCGACAAGTTGTAAGTGTCCAAGTTGATCTGGAATCTTACCGATACCTGGCTCAAACACATCCTTGAACTTCTCTAAAAGATTGTCAAGACCACCTACTTTTGGGTATTGTTGTACTGCCTTTAGTTCAGCCCAGTCTAACTGTACTTCTCGCAACCAATCGCGACCAAATATTGCGTCAAGGTTGTCATCCACGATGTAAAGTTTGCCTGTAAATTTCTGATCCTTGTATGTACAACGCACAAAAACAACTCCTTTTGGTTTGAAGACTTCTCGAGTGTATGTTCGTAGCTGCACTTGTGTATGAAAAATTTTCCTATTAATCTCAAGTTTCTTGAATGTAGAGTAAGGCAGAGTACTTATAGCAGAACCGGTATCAAGTTCCATTTGAACTGGTTTACCTTCAACTGATAAGTCAAGCATAATTTTATCTCCATTTCTTCTATCTATTTTGAAAATCTCGTGTTGTTCATCTTGACAGTCTTCTTCTTCGGCTTGGTGAATTTTTGTTCTTGTAGATCCTAAACATACTCTGGCTAAGTGTCCCTGTTTCTTGCATTTATTACATATCTTTGAAGCAAACTCACAGTTATTGGCCCTATGGTTTTGAGAACCACATCTGTAACATTTTCCTTTAAGACTCTCAAAAAGAGGTGAAGGCTTTTTCTGGTTTGACGTCATGTGCGATTTAGTTGATACATTTTTGTATTTATCCTCAATCTGATGTACTGTACTAGGCCTATTAGTTTTAGTTGCATAGTATTCAGATAGATCACTCTCGTGGTTTGCAATTTCCATCGCTGTCGCTGCTTTGACAACATCTTGAAACGATACTAATGAATTATCCTGAAGCAATTTGGCTCTAATATCTTTATTAACTAACCCCCTTATGAACTGCATTCGCAAAAGTGTATTAGCGATTGATTTCTGGCAAGACTCACAGTTAAACTCACAATTAGATGTAAGTTTTTGCAATTCAACTGAATAAATCTTAACTGTTTCATTGGGCTCCTGTACTCTAGACATGAATTTGTGCTGTAAAGCCCAAGTACTTGGCTGTGGATCAACATAATCTGTCAACATTCTCACCAATTCTGTATATGACTTATCCAGAGGTACTTCTGGAGCACATAAATCATAAACCTTCTGATGTAGGCTAGGGGTTAAAGAATGAAGTAATGTGTATACCTTATCTGTAGGATGCATTCCTTGTCCATGTAAGTGAATGAAGACTTCTAGACGTCTTATGAAATTCTTGAATGTCTCGTCATCTTGAAAGGGTGTGAACGAAATTGTTGATGTAAGCGGTCGCAATTTCTGAGTATCAACACTGTATGGTCTGATCTGCTGTAGTTCTTCTGTTTCGTTGACTCTTTCCAATTCACTTAATCGGAGTTGTAATACATCAACTATTTTGAAATACATATCCTCCATGTCGGTCCTGTATGTGATTTCAGTGTCAAGTTCTTCTTCATCTGTTTTTACTTCAATGTTGTGCTGGATTTGCTCGAATCGTTCCCAATAAGCATGTATCACTGAGAGTCTTGTTCTGATACTATCAATTTTAATACTAGACAATTCTTCCAGCATTCTCCCAGCTCTAGTCAACTGACCTTTAACAACAGCCCTTGCTTTCTTCAGTTCACTCAATGTTTCATTTCCTTGTAAGGAGGCCATAATCAATTATTTGTACTAGTAAATGTAATAAGTGTAAAATAGAAACGTAGAAATAATTAATTGTCCTCGTCGCCAATTATTAAATACAATTATTAACAAGAACTGTATAAAACTCAATTTAATCATTTCATAATGTTAGCTTGAACTAAACAACAACATTGCATTAAACAAACATAATAATAAATAAATCTGAACATCTGTGAATCTTAATAACATATGTAACACAGACTATAGTGGATACATATGAATGAATATCGTGCATTTGCTGCTGTACGCCAGAGCGTCATTTTATTATACAGGGTGTCTCACCTAAAGTGAACCAATAGATAATTTTTTTATTATGAGATATAGAGTTAACTTCTTATGGGACACTACCCTTTATTTTAAGATGTTTTTTGAGTGGTTTCGAATTTTAAAAATATGTTCGCCATTTTCCAATATGGCTGACAACTTTGTTAGTCCTATGGAATACCCTGTATTTTATGATTGTTTTAGAATCTAAACGCTCAATTTTTAAACCTTTTTATTCTTGACATTTTTCTCTAAAGCTACTTGTTTAGGAGTTACATCGAAGAAGAAATGGTTTGTGAGTACATCCTGCATCCTGTAGCTCATAAACGAGTAAGTTTAAGAGCGAAAATACAAAGAATAAACAAGTTTTCAAATCACATCTACATAAAAAAAACATAAAATAAATTGTTCCAATATCAAAGTAAGCTACCATTTTTGAAAATGGTGACCATTTTTAAAACAACAAAATCAGTATTTTTTAACGTATTTTATATATTTTTTTGAACGAGGACTTATATGTGACTTATTTATTCTTTGCACTTTCTCTCTCAACTTACTCGTTTATGAGCTACAGGATGCCGAATGTACACCACAAGCCTTTCTTTTAGATATAACAGGCTGTAACTCCTAAATGGGGTAGGTTTAGAGAAAAAATGTCACGAATAAAAAATAGCTTTTAAATTCTAAAAGAATACTAAAATACAGCGTATTCCATGAGAAATAACAAAGTTGGTGGCCATATTGGAAAATGGTGGATATATTTTTTTTATTCGTAATCATCTCTAAAAACACTTTTTACAAATAAAGGGGGTCGTCTAATAAAAAGTTAAGTTAAAAGTTAATAAGTTAATTTATGTATGTTCAATCTCAACCGGGATGAAACGTGTACCCTTTTATAGCAGAATGTCCAATTTTAATAAAGATACGTAAATTTTGGTCCAACAAGTTATATTTAAATGAATATGAGTTTTTTTGAATTTTTAAATGGCAAAGATTGGCGGGCACTTGGAAATTATCTTAAAGAGGCGTGGAGTAAAGGGTGGGAATTGATAATGGAGTATAATTATTAAATTTAAGAATTGAGATATCAATACAAAAATGGGAAAAATCTATGTAATTAAAATTTTTTTTTAAATATTGTTTGTTAAGTATCTATCAAAGTAAATTATAAAAGTAACAGGTTTGTTTTATGAATTATTAACTGTTTGTAGGAAACATTCAGATTCTCAGTAGGCTACATTTAAATTTTATTATTCATTCAATTGTTATCTGATCTTTATTAGTATGTAGTGCTATTTGTGTATATTCTGTAGTTTAAATCAGTTTATTTTTTGAATAATTGTATGTGATTCATGGATTTTTTTTTAAACTGTTTTAAAATATTTTAAAATCTGTGTGTCTAACACAAAACAGACGGTCTTTGACCATTGTTCTTTGCATTTAAATATAAAAAAAAACACTGTATTGATATTTTATTACAATGAACAAATTTTTTTCTTCTTCAGAAATCCATAATAATTTTTTTAAAATATTTATTTATCTCATAATTCTTTTTGTAGATTATCGTAACGCAAAATGATTAATAAAAGATTGCTTTATTATCCTTACCCGTTTTAAAGTTATAGCTTAATTGCTAAGAGGCTGTAAATTTATCTAAAAAGGGGGGTTAGAGGAAAGAACAAGGGGGGAGGAGTGTTGACTTTCGGGAAAATGATCATCTCAACATGGTCTAACAGCATAGAAAAAATTCAGCTTTCCCATAGTTACTTACAACATCAAACCTATATTGACTGTGGGCTACGTACCATCCATGCGCGCCTCGATACTACTACGAATTTTCCACGTTTACTCTTACTGAAATCAACGTAGCTCTGTTGTTTTTGCACAGATTTGTTTAAACTTGGTGCTGTTGTACTACTTGTTAGTTTTTCTAACCATAAATAGTTTGTAACATGCCCTAAACAAGCGCAATATTTCCGATATTTCATTTTAAAGTATTTTTATATTTTATTATTTGCAATAAATGTTGATTAGCGCCTAAAGTATAAGAGATTGAAGAAAGGTTGTATAATAACCTTTTTGAAGGACAATATATTTAGGCGTAGATAGACGCTTAATTCACCTTTCTATCATTAACCGTTTGTGAGTTAGACGCGGAAACGTAAACCGATGACCCGCGCAACTTCCCCCCCCCCCCCCCCCTGAGTTGTGACCACCCTAGAAATGCGACATCATCGATTTTTTTCATCTACTAGATGTCCCCAACAATAATCAAAAGTCAAATTTTGTCAGACTTTCAGTGCATACTCGACCCGTTTAGCGCCTGGACTACATGTTAATTGAGTGACAATATATCTTTAATTAAATAAATTTTATACTATAAATTGTGGATTAAAATATATTATGTAATTATATACATCATGTATTATATATCTGCTAATATACTTATGACGCACAAGTGCGTCATTAGCAGTGAACGTGTTAAGTTATTGGTTACCTGCTTTACTTTAAGTTGAAATTTATGAGTTGGATAAAATAAGAGTTATAAGTTTGGTATCAACTTTCTATACTAATTTTACAATTACAGTATAGAATATTTTCTTAGTAGGCTAACAAAAAATACAAACAAAACACAAAAGACAGCTGTCTACAGACATTACTGTAGCAACACTCCCACCTACCTAGTTGTGCTGGGCCTCTTGTTTCTTTACTGGATGATAAGGTATGTAGAGAAAAGCGTAATTTGTTTCAAAGTTGCCTTTCTTTGAGCCTTTTGAACAAGTTAGGATGAATATGATTAGCTTCACAATACAATATTTGATCTTTCTCTTCTGTTTTGAGTGTCTCGTCGACTGTCTTCTCTAGGCTGACATTGATAACGGGAACTATCCTTGACAGATCCAACTTGCATGTTCACATTTTGGTGATATTGTACAATGTTGCGTTGGTTCTGTAGTGGAAACACTTCCTTTGTTAAATCGATCCCATTGACAGGGCTGACTAGTGCTGTGGCTTGTGTACTCGGGCCCTGGGAGACAATGCAGTCGGAACCATTAGAGGTGATGATTTATAGTACTATTTATGTCCCCCGACTGGGCCGACTGACGCACAATCTGTATCTGGAAGATCTCTTCCTCGTTGTTATCTAGCAATCCTTGAAGTATAGAATTGGAACCGTCAGGAGATAACGACTAATCTTTTTCAGCAGTTGTCAGCGACTGGGCTTCAACTAGGTCATTCTCAAGTATTTTAGATTGTTCCCCTTTGTCAACACTGGCATCTAGGCTTTGATCCCAAAAGTCTATGCTTGATCGAGCTGTCCCAAGACTCCTGCCACAGTTGCATGTCTCCTTGGGATGTAGGTGAAACCAACTCCGTAAGCCGGGCCAGTTGAGCGTTCTGATTTGGAACGAATGATAGTCAAGACGATCAAGGCACAGTTTTCTGTTGACTAGTAGCTCGGGACCTGTTTAATATTACCGCAATTTGAGCTAGGACCTCGTCTTAGTCCATCAAGGTATTAGTAAGTTCATTCTCTGTGAAGCTTGCCCTTTGGTACAGAATGCGCTGGTATCTAAAATTCTATTTTCTTCCTTATTTTTTGTTGCTGACATAGTATAATGGGTCGTAACAGTTGCTAGAGTACATAATAAGTCGTTCCATCAGTTTCTTGGTAAAAACTGTATTTGACAGAAATTAGTTATTTAGATCAGCGCAATATGTCAGTGGCTCATATCAACTGCAACGAATTTGATTTTAAAAATTGGTGACAACTTTAACATAAGGATCTAATGTCTAGTTGTATCATAATCAAAGTTGGTATCCAATAGTGTAGTTGTATCAGTAATATACATCTTCAGTCGCAGTAAGGAAGTATTCAATCGAAGGTCCCATCTTGAAGTCAATCTTTGTTGTTCGTTTGTTCGTAGAAGTAAAGTTCAATAATAGAAAGAAAGTTAAAGCAGGTAACCACGCTCTGCTAGCATGTCTTGATTGGTTACCTGCTTTCTTCATTTTGTTTGAGTTAAGCCTCCGAATCACTGATCAATACGTGTACTGGTGAAATTACCTGCTGTCAAGTGATCCTTTTGACCTTGAAAGGCGACCGGTTTCGACCCTCACGGGGTCATCTTCAGGCGGACGTCGTCATCGTCTTTTCGTTCTTGCGAACACGTCGTTTTTTAAAAAAACATTGAGGTTTACAGTTTTTAACATTTAAAACACTTAACACAAAACACGAAAAATGGCCAATAACTATTATGGTACCGATCGGTGGAGCGGCGGGCGACACGGAAGTTGAGTCTAGACTGACCGCTGCAAGCCGTTGTCATTGTTTACTTGTCCCCTCCCCTAATCTTTCTTCGTTTCTTTCGTTTTGTCGTTTCGTTTTGTGAGGGTCGAAACCGGTCGCCTTTCAAGGTCAAAAGGATCACTTGACAGCAGGTAATTTCACCAGTACACGTTACCTGCTTTACTTTAAGTTGAAAGTAAGAGTTATAAGTTTGGTATCTACTTTTTTTCAATATTAATCAATAGTAATCATACAATATTTCCTTGGTAACCAATAATTTATTTTTGTAAAAAAAATACAACCGACTTCAAATGCTCTAAAAAGAATGAAATAATTTCAATAAAGTAAACTTTTGTATTAGTCAAGCTCACGTATTTTAAGTCGGCGCGGCTCTATGATGATTTTTGATACAAAATTT